TAACTGTTGTCTAACTTGGTCTCTTTGGTATTTAATCTTACGATATCCTACGATCTAAGCACGTCCTTCTATCCTTTGCCAAAAAGTGCCATAATTCTCATTCTTATTTCATCCGATCAACCCTCTGGTCAGTTCGGTGTATGCTTTATTTCTCTTGTCGAATTAAAAACGTCTTACAGCAATTTTAACAATACCACACAATTTCTCAACCCAACTCTTACTGCTTATCCAAAGTCAACAAAGAATGAATCCAGATAGATTCAGTGTTGGAGGAATGGTCTTACTGTGATGGAGAGGCGCATCAAACTGAGAAAGTGTCAGAAGGAAAAGGCTATTCGAGAATCTCCTTTGATGGAGGAATTTCAGTGAGATGGACGAGATCTTACAACTTTTCCTTTGCTCTTTAAAGTATCCTACGTTCCAAGCCTATCCCATTTTCTACAGCATTGCCAACTATTACCAAACAACAATCCCACGGGATCCCTGCCAAGACCACCTTCCCGCTCTCCTTCACCCTGAGCCAACCCTTGTACCACCTTCCCTTTTCTTGCACCATTTTCCCCTTTCTTGCCTCACAGAAGCTGCTTTCATCGAGTGATCTCGACCGCCCAGCTGCCTTTGTCTTCCCAACGACTGTCAAAAAGCGGACTGACCTGGAGGAGGAGCCTCTCTCCTGGCCTCCTCTTAGCGTTATTGGCCAATCTAAGTTTGCGCGCTCCAGGCCAAGATTTAAGTTAGTTCCTCTTCGGGTAATGCTTTAAGATGTTTTCGCGGAAGCAGAGACTGAGGGAGATCTTTGGGGAATGGATGAGATCGAAAATTGGGGAGGAAGGGAAGAGGGCGGGGTGGGAGAAGGGGAAGACTGCTGGGGAGGTGGAGGCGGAGAGGGAGAGGCACTGAGTACGTGACGAGGCAAGTCCTCTCTCTCGCTCACAAAATACCTCGTGTATCGATTTGCATATTTCCTGGCGGTGGGGCGATGATTGATTTCTCGGAAGGCGCGGTCGCCTCGAGGAAATAATGCTGACAAATACGAGCATTGAATGGGATGAAAATTAATCGTATCTAAACGAGGCTTGTTGCACAAACGACATGCGATAAATTTCTTATTATATGAACCTCTTCTGGTTATCTTATTTGGTTAAGAAGCCAAAATCCTTCCTCAAATGCTTCCGCCAGAGAAAAGCTCGCTTCCCAAAGCCGCGCATACAAAACCCGCTCTTCGTTTCCTTGACAATCCTCTCCGCTTTCCAGCTGTCACATCTGTCCGTGAGCATCCTCCGTCATCTTAGGGAAAGAAGGCAGAAGTTGCTAGACAGTTGTCCTCAGACAGTTTCGAGATACAACTGTTTGCAATTGTTTTCACGGCGGTTTGCGCGAGGTGGCGGAGGGCGAGTGTTGTCATGGCGCGGCAAATTGCTTTGCTTGTTTCCAAACTCTTTAAATTGTTATTTCAAAGGCTGTAATTACGGAGCGCTCTGAGTTGATGAAGGAGTTCAGGGAAATTCATGTCAATAACAAAAAAATTAAGGCATATTTCACTGTCTCGACTTGGGTTTCACGCGAATTCGTTTACCTATCCGTCTATTTATCTAGTTGTTCACGCTCTAAAGTTGTCGGGAAATTCCGCCCCTTTGTTTCTAAGGCGCCAAAATTTCGATTGTGTCACACGGCTCAAAAATGCATCAACGAATGTTTAACTTTGGCGGCCATTCAACCTGCGATTGCATTGAGTCTTTTCACGTGGCAACTTACATACCAGCTGTGCAGTTTTAAAACTACGATTTGTAAGTGCTGCCATCTCTTCTCTAGATGTAATGTTGGAAAGATTACATGTTTTCACCTCTTACACACACACACACACACACACACACACACACACACACACACACACACACACACATACACACACGCACGCACTTATCCAGACATACATACACAAACACACACGCATGCACGCAATAAAAAGAACTCCGTCTTATATGAAATGAACGAAGAACATGCCCTTTTGTTACACTTCTTAAAGGGAATATATATTCGATAATTAATCTCTCTCTTTAGTGAGTCGCGTTAAATCTCCCTCACTTGACCCTCTCTCCCTTCCCTTCTCCTCCTCTCCCTTACCGTCTCTCCCTTCCCCTCTCCTCTTCTCCCTCCCTCTCTCCCTTACCGTCCCTCCTTCTTCTCCTCCTCTCCCTTACCGTCTCTCCCTTCCCCTCTCCTTCTCTTCCCTCTCCTCCTCTCCCTCCCTCACTCCCTTACCATCTCTCCCTTCTTCTCTCCTCCTCTCCCTTACCGTCTCTCCCTTCCCCTCTCCTCTTCTCCCTCCCCTCTCCTCCCTTCCCTCTCCTCCTCTCCCTCCCCTCTCCTTCCTCTCCTCTTCTCCTCCCTTCTCTCTCCCGCCTCTTCCTCTCTCCCTCCTCCTCTACCTTCTCTCTCCTCTCCTTCGTCTCTCTTCCTTCCCGCCTTCCCTCACTTCTCGCTTACCGTCTCTCTTCCT